AAAAAGAAATACTGTTTTAGATTTTTAAAATTTGTGTGTGTGTGTGTGAGAGAGAGAGAGAGAGAGAGAGAGAGAGAGAGAGAGAGAGAGAGACTACATGACTTTATGTGTACCACATGCATGCAAGTGACCTTGGACTCCAGAAGAGGTTTTTTGATCCCTGGAATTGGAGTTACAAGCAGTTGCAAGCCACCCAAGGTAGGTGGTGGAAACCAAACCTGGGTCCTCTTATAGAGCAGTAAACATTTTTAACCACCGAGGCAAGGCACCAGCCAGTAATTCTTTCAACACCTGCAAAACAATGTAGTTTCTTTCACTTTATAATTCCTACTCTGGAAACCTCCCAGGAGAAGCACTCAGACACAGTGCAAAGACACAAGCACATCCCTTAGGGAACAAACGAACTAAAACCTCCAACCCATGAAGTCAATACAGAAGGAACAAAGCAACCCAAGAAGCACGGACCACAGAAACAAGACAATCAGAAACTGAGGCAGTGGAAAACAGGAAGGAGCCAGGGAGAGATCTGACAACGCCAAACGCTAGGAAGACTCACAAAAACTCCGGCACAGCTGATCAAAAGAAGAAAAAGACACGGGGAAGTTGAAGTGGGAAAACAGAACACAAGAGAGAGGGAGAGAGAAAACAGGAATAAAATATACAGCAGGGTGAGGACTGGGACCAATAGGGAGAGGCAAAATGTTAAATCAACAGAGAAGGAGAAGATAAAGGAGACAAATGGTTAAGATGGCACCACACGATAAACCACACCGAAGCACTCCATCAAATAGATTCTTAGAGCACTCCAAACAGTCAGAATGCACACAAGAACCAGAAATCCTAAGTATGGATAGCACTGAACGCAGTCAGAAGTGGACGGATGGCCCCTCCGCCGCTTTCACAGGTGGCCGGGCGCCTTTGTCACCAACAGTTGTAGCTAACGACCACTCTGGTCTTCAGAAAGGCTTCCGGTAAACTGACACAGTCCCAAAATCAGATGCTCTGTTTTAGAGAAAGGCCTTTAATGCCAGACTCGTTAACCAAGTCTCAGGACGCATGGTAGCCAAGGCATGGTACCACACAGAAATGAGGCAGGAAGGTTACCATGAAGCTGAGGCCAGTTTGTGCAGTACTGTGAGACCTGGTCCAAAAGCAAAGCAAAATGTGAGATCCGTGATAGGTAATATCTTTTCTTGTGTTACAGGTAAATGCTCCCACCTTCCCTGAGTCTTAAGGTGCAAAGCTGAATGTGGACAGCTTCTTATGAGAATAAAAACCACACGACCAGCAATGGCATTGGTTAGTACACAAGCAAGGTAAGAACCCATCAGTATAAAAACCTGCACACCATTATTTATAGTGGCTTTATGCGCAGCTGCCAAAGCTTGGAAGTGATTAGGACAGAGAAGCCTCAGTAGCTTCTCCACTGGGCCTGGGCCTCTATTTAGTTTCACTTTTGGTTTCTGTACTCTTTTAAAGTAAGAAGAGCCCAGCCAATCAGGTTCGGGATGACCTAGTCCCCAGCCAATTAGGTCCAGGATGGTCTAACCCCCACCCTCCTCACCCTCTCCTGGTTGCCTATAAAAGGAGCCTGCGGGCTCCAGTGGGTGGGGTTGTGTAGTCATTTTGCTGTGGACTGCAGCATGCTGGAATAAACAAAGCTGTTGTTGATTGCATATGTGAGCATAGACTGTCTTTGTTTTGTGGGAGAGTAAAAAAGGGACAAAGATGCGGGTGAGCTTACTTAAAAGGGAAATCCTATGCATGTGAACAGAGTCCTATGCAGCCATGCTACGCATGACGTAGCTACGTAGGGTCACAGAGCCCCTGGGTCGGCTAGAGGTTTGCATGAATGCTGGTGGGCTGCCGGGTGGGGTCAGTATAACGCTGGAATCCTATATGTCCAGACAGTGGAATACTATTCAGTGCTCAAAAGAAGGGAGTTGGAAACCAACACCCGGGTTTGATCCCCAGCACCGCGTAAATTGGGTAGACAGCCCACACCTCTAATCTCAACACTGGGGATGTGGAGGCAGGAAGATCCGAAGTTCAAAGCCAGTCTAAAACTGCCTGAGACCTGTCTCCAGAAGGAGAGAAGAAAGGGGAGGAGGGAAGGAAAGGAGCTGTGGAGCTGTGAAGGTTTAAGTCCCCTCAGTGCTTTTCTCTAGATGAAAGAAGCCATGCTTAAAAGACACACGCTATGAACTCCAGCTCCATGGCATTCTGGGAGAAGGAAACCGATGGCGACAGCAGAGAGCAGAGGTTTGGTGGGTGAGTTGGTAGAATGGAGCATTTCTGAGGGGACACACTGTTGTGTCATATTCTAACGATGGACACATGTCACCCTACACCTCTCAAATCCACACAGTATACAATACCCAACAGACAGTTGGATCTCTGATGTAAACTGAGGAGATTGGCCAACAATGCTGTCAGATTCAACGGGACAGATGCACCCCTGTGGGACTGGACATTGACAGAAAGTGGCACACGGCAGAACTAGGGCATTTGGAAGCTTTGTCTAGGCTATTCAGCTTTACCCCAAACCCGAAACTACTACAAAACAAAAACCTTTTCAAAAGGGAAAATCTTCACACAATAGGGAGTTATTAAAAAAATGGCAGTTATTATTTTTAAATCACGAAACTTCAGGATTGCTTATCACATAGCAAAAGACAAGTAAGACAGCCTTCTATGGAAGAGACTGACACGCTGGTAAAAATGCAGCCATCTAGGGAAGGCACCAGCTCACTGACAAAACCTACCCCTGCTTTCTTCTGCTCCAACAGGGCGCCTTTGTGCGCTAGATAAATGCCCCGCCCCCTCGCTCAGAGAATGAGGCCCCAGGACTGCGTTAGTGAACACAACGTGAACAGATATGATGGAAGCATCCTTTGAGTCATGGTTCCCAAAGGAGAACGTAACTTCACTTTCTCGTCCATCTTTCCTGCTGGGCAAAAGGCAAATATGCGAACTTCAGCCAGAGCAGCAACCTCACTTGAGGCGGGGCCACCTTTAAGGACCCCAGAGTCACTGGCAGAGGAGCGGGGCATCTCATGCTGACTAGACTCCTCATAACCTAGGGACCTGTTTATCTTGGGCGCTGCTGCCAAGTGTGACTTCTGAGTAACACTTCCTTTCACTGTGCCCAGCTAAAGTGTCCTAAGACAAGGGGGAAAGGACCCAGAGTGGAGCCAGACTTGGAGTTCCTTCTACTCTGACTCTGATAGCTCAAGGCTCCAGGGAAGGATGAGGCTACTTGTCCAGTCTCCACCAAAGAGCACTTAGTTCTTAACTCCCTTGAATGGCCAACATGGAAAATGGACAGCAAAGTCAACCCTGGTCAGATATAGGGATAGATATCTGGGATAGGCTGTCCAGAACCTATTTGTCACTGTGTTTTATTATGGTCTGGGGATTGAACCCAGGACCTGACCAATGCTGAGCTTACCACTGAGCTACAGTCCAGTCTTTGCCATTCTAAGTGACTGCATCAGCTTCCCCCACACTCCCCTGCCTTCAAGAAAAGCCCAGAAGCTGGAGAGATGGCTCAGTGGTTAAAAGCATTGGCTGCTCCTCCAAATGACCTGGGTTCGATTCCTAGCACCTACAGGAGAGCTCACAACCCTTATAACTCCAGTTACAGGGGGTCCAACACATTCTGACCTCCACGGTACCAAGCATGTCATGAGGGCAATGCAATCATACACATCAAATAAAATTTCAAAAGTATTTTTTAAAAAGACAGAGTCCAAATCTATTCATGGATTTTAATAGCTGTCACACTCCTATACAGTTCTTCAAGCTGAGGTCAGGGCTCCCCATGACCCATCAGACCCTGCACCCCAGTTCTGCTGAGTGATCTGTGGCTCTGACCATGCTGTGTTCTCTCTCATCCTGATGGCAGATGCAAGCTTGTCTACAGCCTACAACCACCTCTCTGTCCACGGGTCCTCAGCATACTTTGCTACCTTTTAAAATTATATTTATTATTATTATATCTGTGTGTGCGCGCATGTGCGTGTGTGCATCATGATGTGCACACAGAGGTCAGGAGACAAAGCTCTCTCCTTCCACCTTTCTGTGAGATCTGGGGACCAAACCCAGGTGATCAGCCATACCAGGGAGGTGCTTTACCCACAGGGCCATCTCCCCAGCTCAGTTCCCGCTCCTCCTAAAGACCAGCTCAGCAGCCCCCATGATCGCTCCATCTGTAATCCATTAGGAGGTCAAAGCAGGAAGACTGTGTGAGTTCAAAGCCAAGCTGGGGCTACCAAGTGATTTCACGACCTGTGTGAGTAACTTAGCACGATTCTATCTCAAATTAAAAAAGCAAATAAGAGAGATGGGGACATGGCCTGTGGGTAGAATGCTTCTAGCATGGGGTACAAGATCCTGGGTTCAGTTCCCAATACAGAAAAAAATTTTAAAAATTAAACTATGGAAGTGGGGTGTGGTGGTGGTACGTTTCTGTAGCTCCAGTTACTCAGAAGGCTGGAGTAGGAAATCCTGGATGTAAGGCTAGCCTAGGCAACATAGCAAGACAAAAGAAACAAAGAGAAAAAACACAGAAGGGGTGGGCGTGGCTAACACCTCGACCTCCTCCTCCAGTCTCTGAGATAAGCCTGAAAGGAAGCTGTTGAAAGAAAAACAGTTTACTTTGGATCCCTTCAGGGCCTTAGAGAGAGAGGTTGGATCAAACGTCCCTACTGTTTGTTGTCAGAGCCTGGGGGCACTGCTCAGTGGCAGGTCACGTGCTCAGAGGTCCTTCCCAGGACCAAGGAGAAAAGCAGCCACTGTTGGAGAAGACAAGCCACCGGCTCCTGTAAAAGACCAGCAGGGACACATGTGTGCTCTGCCACGATTCAAAGTGCACACATCCAGGAAACAGAATGTAGCAACAACCACATGGCCACAGCAATGTCCTCCTGAATTCTCATTTCGGACACTCCCTTTCCACGCCCTTCTGAACAGGGCATCAGAAAGCCTAGGAGTCTTACCCCTGGAGACTTTGTAAACTTCATAGAAAGAGTAGAGGTGGAAGCCCAGGGAAGCAAGCAGGTAAAGAGTCAGTTCCCATCGGGGCAGCATTGCCGGAGTCACTCACTGGATCCCAGTGTAGCGTGCAGGGTCTCTATGGGAAAAACAGACAAGATGTCAGAGGTGACACTGGACATTGGTCTCTTGATGTCCACTGAGTTAGCTGGCACTCCTAAGCACCTTCATTTTTCAAGGTGACACCAATGCAATCCCAAAAAAACATCCCCTCCCCTGCCCTCTGCCCCGTTCCCATTGACCTTACCCCTTCCTACATTTAACACACACAGACACAGGACAGTCATACACACACACCCCATTTGCCTAAGTCTTTCTCTAGATACAACACAGAATACATCAAAGAGTTCCCTTTCTTGTGTGACACACTTTGTGAAAAAGGACTGTGATTTCTAAGGCCCCAGCACTAAACAATTTGCCTGGGATGTAGCAATAAGGAATGACCATGTCCATGAATACCAATGCCTTAGGAAACCTGTAGGAGCATTTTATTTGTATTTTAATAAGTAAAGCTTGCCTAAAGATCAGAGAGTAAAGCAGCCCCACTGGTCAGCCTTACAGACCTGGCAATGGTGGCACGCACCTTTAATCCTAATAACCACGCTAGTTTGCCATAGAAACCGGCAGTAGTGGTGCACGCCTTTAATCCCAGCCCTAAAGAGGAATAGAAGATGGGAGGAGACAGCCCTCAGAGACAGTCTCATTCTGAGGACTCCTGGAGGCGGGATCACCATTTCAGACTGATGTAGAGGTAAGAGCCAAAGCTGGTTGCTTTGCTTTTCTGTCTTTCATGTTGAACCCCGATTTCTGTCTCTGGATTTTGATTAATCATGCTACAAAAGCTCACGTAACAGGAAAGCACAGATAACCCCCTCCTCCTCTTCTTCATCCTCCTCCTCTTCTTTCTCCTCCTCTTCCTCCTGTCTCTTCTCTTCCTCTTCCCTTTGTTGCTCCTCCTGTACACACTCGGCCTCCCTTCTCACAAAGGAACTGGATTTTTATATGGACACATGAATTCTACACACAACACCATGCTTATCCCCTCATGCATAGGGAGGGTGAGGCTGTGGGTAACCTCCTCTTTTCCTCCCTTTCATGCTGACCAAAACTGAGACAGACCATGGAAAATAAGGTAGAAGGCACCCCAGTCCGTGACTGCACAGACCCCCTCACCCCAAAGCTACCCTGACCACACCTAGCTAACCTGTGACAAGAAACAGAACACACGTCTTGGCTGGCAAGTTTCCAGTAGGCCAGCACTCTCTGTCATGAAGGCTGAGTCTACATTCCAACAGAAAAGGTAACAGAAAGTTGAGTCCTAAATTCTGCAAATTAGGGCTGGAGAGATGGCTCATAGGTTAAGAGCACTGGCTGCATCTTCCAGAGGTTTTGAGTGTAATTCCCAGCAAGCACATGGTGGCTCACAACCATCTGTAATGAGATCTGATGCCCTCTTCTGGCATGCAAGCATACATAACACTGTGTGTGTGTGTGTGTGTGTATAATTGTTTTTTTAATAATTCTGCAAATTAAATGACCCCAAGTGTCCCCAAGCAATAAAGCACTAACTAACTTTAAGCCCTTTTATACAAGCACCTTAAACACATGTTATGTTAGACACCAAATTAAATGATACAAACTCTTAAGTCCCAAGCAAACACTTCTAATCAGGAGCAGTAAAGTTAAAAGCAGGATTTCACTCTCCCACTCTGTTTCCCTGGTGGCCCAGTGAGGTCGGGAGGGCAGAGGAGGGAAGCCCTTTGTGGATGACAATGTGACAATGCCTCACAGCCTGAAAAGCGATCACTCTATCATACATTTGTGGAGTCTCAGAAGGTCATAGTCATGGAAACAAGTGGTAAAGCCATAGTGGCCAAGTCCTGGGGTGAGCGATCCAAAGTCCCCCTCTCAATCAAGTGGGTTAAGACAGTGTACAAGGTAATGGCTCTGTGGTTGCCTGGATTTACTACGTCACCAAGGATGCTCACATGCAAACATCACAATACATCAAACAGACATCATTCTCTAAGTCAAAATGAACCACCGTACCCTAGACCAAACCCAGGTCCACCCCTGCTTCCTTCTACCACCAAGGTTGGCCCCAGGCAGGCTAGTACAGAGAACCCCTTTTCCTCAGAGCCTGACTTGGAACCTGATACACACAAATTCCTTCCAGACTTCCAGGAGACAGGAAGGAAAGGCCATCTGGGCCCTTGTGAGGCATGGACACAGAGCCAATGTCCCTTCACCCAGCAACCCTATGGGTGTGACCAAGACCTTGCCCAGGGAGGGTAGTCTGGTTTCTCCTGTGAGCAATGATGGCCTCTGCTCTCTCAAGGACCCTGATTTCATACATTTCACCTTGCTTTACTACTGCCATATCCTAGACAGAGTTTCCAAAATCCTGTAGGAACAGAGGGGCCATCTTTACTGCAATGGAAGGGAATTTGCTGTTGGTATGTTAGCATGCCTCCTACCACTGAAGACCGAGGTTACACTGGACACCTGCCTCATCTCATGGAGAATTGGGGAATTGGGAAGTACTCCTAAACATATATAATTGAACATAATCTTGTATGTCAAAGGAAGGCACTAGAAGACCTACTTTTTCCAAGATACTCTGATGTGGGATTTCCCCTCTGTATGCTGTGAATATCATTGGTTAACAAAGAAACTGGTTTGGCCTGATAGGGTAGAGCAGAGCTAGGTGGGGAAAACTAAACTGAATGCTGGGAGAAAGGAGGCGGAGTCAGAAAGAAGCTATGGAGCTGAAACTTTGCTGGTAGGCCACGACCTCGTGGTGATACACAGAATAATGGAGATGGATTAAATTAAGATATAAGAGTTAGCCAATAAGAAGCTAGAGTTAATGGGCCAAGCGATGATTTAAATAATACAGTTTTTGTGTGATTATTTCAGGGCTGAGCTGCCAAGCAGCCGGGAAACAAGCAGCCTCCTTACAACAATACTTTATCTCTTTTTAATATTTATTTATTTATTCTACATCCTGACCTCAGTTTCCCCTCTTCTCTCCTCCAAGTTCTAAAAGATACTCTATCTTGAGTAATGCCTCTGCATGAAGGGTTTACACCTGGAGAAGTACAGGGCTCATTTTTATAACATTGTTTGCTGTATTATAATTGCATATTATCTTAGCTGTATTATACATTGGGTGCTCAGACACACTGACACGTAGTATTAATCATTATCAGAAAAGCAGTAGGACTGTCTCCTCCATCACATCTCAGACTTGGATCTGGTCCCTACAGCTTCCATCCGACAGTTCAGGGACAACCGCCAGCACCCGACCCTGCTAGAAGTCACCACTCTGCCAAGTGCTGGTTCAACAACATGGGAAGGTAGCCAGGTCCCAGCTACAGCTCCTCATGAGGCTGGTGAATGAGTTATGTGCAAACTGCCCAGAGCCAGCCCTAAGCACTCAATAAAACATAGGAAGCTACTAGCTGGTGAATTAAATGCATTGCGAGCCTACCTACCTGTGGCCCAAAGTGGGAGAAATCCAACTTGGAACATCTAGGCTGGTCACAGCCATCCAACCTGCTCCTACTTCCCTTCCAGCAATCGGCAGCCCTCAAGTCTTCTTTGGGGTCATTCTTCTTCCTTTTCCCATGCTCAGCCAGGGGCTCCCACCCTTGGGCAGCATGGAAATAGACTTGGGGGATCAGCTGGAAGCTTTCTTCCTAGGGTTTCTTCCCTGCCTCATCTTATCCCACGGGAATTGTGCTTGAATACCTCCTCAAAGCCACAAAATCTACATGGAGACAACGACAAACCCTTCGTAGCAGATCTTCCCTCCATCTCTCTTTTCAGCCCTTGCCCATTTCTCATAGGTCCTTGATGTAGGCAAACCACAACCACACATGAACACGTCAGCCCTTGTCCATATATCATAGGTCCTAGGAGGACCACGACCACATATGAATATATGTGCATGCACATGCACACACATACACACTTCTTTCATTATTTATTTGCAGCAGCTACCTCTTTGGAAGAGAGATGGAAAGGAAGGGTGAAATGGTTAATTTATATAGAGAGCTGGGCAGTAAGAAGCCTGAGCCATTGGCCAAACAGTGTGTAAATAATACAAGTTTCTAAAAAGAAAAAAAATAATACAAGTTTCTGTGTGATTACTCAGGATGGGGAGGCCAGGAAGTGAAAGCACAGCCTCCAGCTACATCTACATGCACCACGGCTGTGAGTTCCATAAAGCACAGACATGCACCATGGCTGTGAGCTCCGTAAAGCACAGACATGCACCACGGCTGTGAGTTCTGTGGAGCACAGACACGCACCACGGCTGTGAGTTCTGCGGAGCACAGACATGCACCACGGCTGTGGGTTCTGCAGAGCACAGACATGCACCACGGCTGTGAGTTCTGTGGAGCACAGACACGTACCACGGCTGTGAGCTCCGTAGAGCACAGACATGCACCATGGCTGTGAGTTCTGTGGAGCACAGACATGCACCACGGCTGTGAGTTCTGTGGAGCACAGACATGCACCACGGCTGTGAGCTAGTCCCTGCGCTTTGTGGCCATCGTTGCATTACTTAACACAAGTACTCCGAGACAGTTAATCTAGGGACTGAGCCAACTAAGGGACAAGGTGGGGGGAGTGCGACGTTTGGACGCACGGGACACAAGGAGAGGCGATGTCCTCTGTGAGTGGAGCCAGACAGCACAGGGCCTTTCCACACCACTCTAAAGTGTTCCTTCACGGAACTTTCCACTTAATGGTTTTGGACCACAGCCAGACACAGGTGATTCTGTGTGACAGGTTACACTGAATAGTTAAGTATCTGAAAGTTCACAAGAATCCTATAACACTGTCCATGGGCAGGGAGGCCTACCGTTCAGGACCTCAATGGGAAGTGGAGACCTAGTGCTGAAACCAAATCACAAACGTGGGGGACATTTAAGTTCTAGCAAACTAGTTCAGGCCTCTGTGGTGGGCTGGGGGTCAGTCCAAAGCTGCAGGCCCAGGGTCCCAACCACATTATTAACAAGAGCGTGAAGTGAAGGCAGGAGAAAAACAGGAAATCGACTTCATATCACA